AGATAAGAGGGGGGCACTGGAAGAAGGGGAGGATCAGAGGAGATAAGAGGGGGACACTGGAAGAAGGGGAGGATCAGAGGACATAAGAGGGGGCACTGGAAGAAGGGGAGGATAAGAGGAGATAAGAGGGGGGCACTGGAAGAAGGGAAGGATCAGAGGAGATATGAGGGGGGCACTGGAAGAAGGGGAGGATCAAGGAGATAGGAGGGGGGCACTGCAAGAAGGGGAGGATCAGGGGAGATAAGAGGGGCACTGGAAGAAGGGGAGGATCAGAGGAGATAAGAGGGGGGAACTGGAAGAAGGGGAGGATCAAGGAGATAGGAGGGGGACACTGCAAGAAGGGGAGGATCAGAGGAGATAAGAGGGGCACTGGAAGAAGGGGAGGATCAGAGGAGATAAGAGGGGGCACCGGAAGAAGGGAAGGATCAGAGGAGATAAGAGGGGGCACCGGAAGAAGGGGAGGATCAGAGGAGATAAGAGGGGGCACCGGAAGAAGGGAAGGATCAGAGGAGATAAGAGGAGGCACCGGAAGAAGGGAAGGATCAGAGGAGATAAGAGGGGGGCACCGGAAGAAGGGGAGGATCAGAGGAGATAAGAGGGGGCACCGGAAGAAGGGAAGGATCAGAGGAGATAAGAGGGGGGCACCGGAAGAAGGGGAGGATCAGAGGAGATAAGAGGGGGCACCGAAAGAAGGAAAGTATCAGAGGAGATAAGAGGGGGGCACCGGAAGAAGGGGAGGATCAGAGGAGTTAAGAGAGGGGCACCGGAAGAAGGGAAGGATCAGAGGAGATAAGAGGGGGGCACCGGAAGAAGGGGAGGATCAGAGGAGATAAGAGGGGGCACCGGAAGAAGGGGAGGATCAGAGAAGATAAGAGGGGGGCACCGGAAGAAGGGGAGGATCAGAGGAAATAAGAGGGGGGAACCGGAAGAAGGGGAGGATCAGAGGAGATAAGAGGGGGCACTGGAAGAAGGGGAGGATCAGAGTCTGTTGCAGTTGTGTTGTTGAATTATTATTCCAGGGTGTGTTTTCTTCCAGAGGTGTTCTATTCTCCTGAAATAGAAATTCCGCCATATCCAGTGGTAGAAGGTGATCATGTGACCCTGACGTGCGACACGACCCTCCGTCCGCTCAAACAGTCGATAGAACTGAATTTTGCTTTCTATAGAGATGGACAAAACATTCAGAAATTCAGTTTCTCTCATCAATATGGCGTCCGGTCCGCTCAGCTGGAGGATTCTGGGAATTATTCCTGCGAAGTGAGAACTTCTGATAACAGCGTAACAAAGAACAGCAAAGGAATAGATCTCCTGATTCAGAGTGAGTTACCAAAACACTCGACCTGGTTATCACAAAGAGTCGTTCATTATACAGATTATACGGTTATGTCCATATGGAAGAGAAATATATGTCCAATATATTTTAAGAAAAAATTATACATGCGACATATATTTAAAATATATCGGCCTACGCCAATATATTTTAACGTGTATTCTAAAAATGTAAATTAAAATATATTTTCCAAAGGCATATTTTTAAAAATATATTTTCCAGATATTTTTGAACATCTAAAAAAAATGCATTTACATAGGTTTTTAAATATACTTGTAAATGCATTTTGAAATATATTTCAGCATGTGTTCTGAATATATTTTTAATAATATATTCACAAATATATTGAAATATATTTAATACGGCCAAAATTGTAGTATTTGAAATATATGTCAATATATTTGGGAAGAATATATTAAGAATGTATTTTTAAAATATATTTTTCTTCCATGTGGGTCTGCTTAATCTTAACACTTTATTTTTGAACATCTAAAAAAAATGCATTTAAACATAGATTTTTAAATATACTTGTAAATGCATTCCAAAAATGTAATTTAAATGTATTTTCCAAAGACATGCTGTATATTTGAAAATATATTTTTTAAATATTTTTCAGATTTTTTTTAACAGATAAAAAAGTAATTTCAACATATATATTTTTACATATATTTGTAAATGCATTGCAAAATACACTTTGAAATATATTTCCCAAATATATTCACAAATATATTGAAATATATTTTTGAAATATATTGAATACGACCAAAATTGTAGTATTTGAAATATATGTCAATATATTTGGGAAGAATATATTAAGAATGTATTTTTAAAATTATTTAAAATATATTTTTCTCCCACGTGGGTGGCTTTAGTGCAGTTTTTTATGATGATTTATCTGTTTTAGGACTTTTTTCCACGCCATATTTAAACGCCACTTGTAATCCGATCAGAGAAGATGACAACGTGACCCTGACATGCCATACAAGTCTAAATCCGCTAAGACAGACAACGGAACTGCATTTTGCATTCTTCAAAAATGGCCAAATGGTTCAAAACTTCAGCAAATCCAATCACTATGAAGTCCAATTGGCTCAGTTGGTGGATTCTGGGAATTATTATTGTGAAGTGAAAGCTCCAACCAACCATGTCAAGAAGAGAAGTGATGTATCAACTGTACAAAGTAAGTGTAGCACTGCCCCTTAGGAGTTGCAATAAATTTTCCCATATAGAAGAAAAATATATTTGAAATATATTTTAAAAATACTCTTCCCAAATATATTCACATATACATATACAGCATTTGAAATGCTACAATTTTGGCCATATTCAATATATTTCAATATATATTACAATAAATAAATAAATAAATATATATATATATATATATATATATATATATATATATATATATATATATATATATATATATAGCATGTTGAAATGCGTTTTTAATTCAAAATATATGAAAAATATTTAAAAAAATACATTTTAAATATACTGTATGTCTTTAAAAATACAAATCTACATTTTTGGAATTTACAGATATATGTAAAAATATATGTTAAAATAACTTTTTTATATGTTAAAAAAAATCTGAAGAATAGATTTAAAAGAAATATATATTTTTAAAAATATTTTTCTCATATATTGTAATATATAAAAAAAACGCATTTCAGCATGCAGTGTGTGTATACGTGGTGTGTGTGTGTATATATATATATATATATATATTTATTGAAATAATTTTTGACAGCTTATTAAATACATGGTGCTTACATGTTAGCAGCTGAAGCTGGGCTGTCTATTAAGGAAGCCCAGCATTAGTCTGTATTGCTGTCTTGGACAATTCCCAATGGAATGGTGTATGATCAAGAGGAAAGAGAACATATCATAGTGCAACCCCATAAAAAAATAAACCACTTTATTCAATTGTAAAATGAACTCACAAAGATAATAAAATAGCAAGCATGTGTATATATCCATCAACCAAAACGGTTCCTCACATCGCAAATTCAGGTTTGCGCAACACCGGAAGTGACGTCACTAGGCTCCTCCCGACGCGTTGCGGCACTGGTCACGTGACTTCTTCAGGGTAATATCAGTTTTTGGTTGACTTAAATTTTTTTGACACCTTAGAATTCTTAACCGATTTTATATTTCATTCGTTTTCTTTTTTTTAATAAAATCATTCTTTTACAAATAAATATTAAATACACGGTGCTTACATGTTAACAGCGGAAGCTGGGCTGTCTATTAAGGAAGCCCAGCATTAGCTCTGCACATTCTGACTGTTCTTAAACTACAAATTTAGTCTGTTGCTGACTTGGACAATAATAGATAGTGGACCCTCTATGCTATATATACCTTGGAGAAACAAGACAGTAAGACAGCTGCCCTTAATCACTTTGCCCAATTCCATTCATCAGAGAACAATGGTGCTCAGCTTCAGCCTCTGCAAGCCACTTCAGTAACAATAAGTCACTTCAACCTCAGCCACTTCAACCTCAGCCACTTCAACCTCAGCCACTTCAACCACTTCAGTAACAAAACAATCCGGCACTCCAGTAAAGATCCTTGGTATCTTTTATTACATCAAATGGCTAAGAAATGGCTCAACTGGTACGCTGAAGTGTCACAGCCATCCCAAGCCTTACCCATAGCTATGAGGAAGGCTCAAAATGGTTTAAATGTCAGCAGACCTATCAAACTATATTTTAGCCATCTGATGCTGTTTATTTTTATTTATTTATTACAGGTACTTATATACATTTACACATTTATATTGTACATTCACATCAGTCCCTAACCCTCAAGGAGTGTACAATCTAAGGTCCCTTACCCTCAAGGGGCGTACAATCTAAGGTCCCTTACCCTCAAGGGGTGTACAATCTAAGGTCCCTAACCCTCAAGGGGTGTACAATCTAAGGTCCCTAACCCTCAAGGGCTGTACAATCTAAGGTCCCTAACCCTCAAGGGGCGTACAATCTAAGGTCCCTAACCCTCAAGGGGTGTACAGTCTAAGGTCCCTAACCCTCAAGGGGCGTACAGTCTAAAGTCCCTAACCCTCAAGGGGCGTACAATCTAAGGTCCCTAACCCTCAAGGGGCGTACAATCTAAGGTTCCTAACCCTCAAGGGGCGTACAGTCTAAGGTCCCTAACCCTCAAGGGGTGTACAATCTAAGGTCCATAACCCTCAAGGGGCGTACAATCTAAGGTCCCTAACCTTCAAGGGGCGTACAATCTAAGGTCCATAACCCTCAAGGGGCGTACAATCTAAGGTCCCTAACCCTCAAGGGGTGTACAATCTAAGGTCCCTATCTCAAATCCATACATACACATACTAGGGCCAATTTAGACAGGAGCCAATTAGCCCACCAGCATGTCTTTGGAGTGTGGGAGGAAATCCACTTAGCCGCTGTCTTTGGTAATAAAGGGTACCCAGGATACCAAGCGCCGGCTTGTTTTTGAGTTCTTTAACCACCTCCTGCCTGCCATATAGTAATATGATGGACGCAAGGTGGTTCTCTCGTTCTGGGAGGACATCAGATAACGTCCTCCCATTCTCACCACGCGTGCGCAGCTCAGGGAGCGATCAGCGGTGCGCTGTGTCCCTCGGACACAGTGGGTCACCGGTCACGGAAAGAGCCGAAGATGTCGGCTCGGTCGTGTCATCAGCTGTGTCCAATCACAGCTGATCACATGTAAACAGGGAAATGCCGGTTATCGGCATTTCTCTCCTCTCGAGCTGTCATGCTGACAGAGGAGAGGATAGCTGGTAATCGGCTTTCTGCGGAGGGAACATGTACACTGATCATCAGGGCACTGATGATCAGTGTAGCCCCAGCAGTGCCACCTGTCAGTGCTCATCAGTGCCACATGCCAGTGCCCATTAGTGGCACATCAATGCCACATATCAGTGCATACCAGTGCACATCAATGCCATATATCAGTGCCCATCGGAGCTGTCTTTCAGTGTCACCCATCAATGCCAATCAGTGCTGCCAATCAGTGCCACCTATCAGTGCCAGTCAGTGCCGCCTATCAGTGCACATCAGTGCCGCCTATCAGTGCCACCTAACAGTGCCAGTCAGTGCCACCTATCAGTGCCAGTCAGTGCTGCCTATCAATGCCATATATCAGTGCCATGTATCAGTGCTGCCTGTCAATACCCATCAGTGCCACCTACCAGTGCCTCCTCATTAGTGCCCATCAGTGCCACCTATCAGTGTCCATCAGTGCAGCCTATCAGTGCCCATCACTGCAGCCTCATTAGCGCACATCAGTGAAGGAAAGGCCAAGGCACAGAGCCTAAATACTTTCCACCAGCTTTTCCCCAGAGCACCAGCAAGGAGTGATGGACTCTATTGGAGGGTTGACCAGGTTGTGGCCCTCCTGTGCAGATGGCAACTGACCAAGGATTAGAACCAGAGCTTTGCACAAAGTTGACAGGCAGATTTAAGAAAAGGGACAGGCCAAAGGTAAGGGTTGGCAGTGAACACGCAAAGTCAAATACAAGCTAAAGTGGGTAACAAGAGAAGCAAGAATGCGGGATTGAAAAGTTTAACACAGACTGGAGCACTGGGCTAAGAACTGAACCTATTGCTCAGGTGGTGGTCTGAGGGCAGCTAAAGAGTGAGGTTGATATAAAGGCCTGGCAAGGACTGGCTACATAGTGGCTGTATCAACTAGCAGGTAGGATCTGGACAAACAGTTCCTATACCTCCCTGTCCTGTGGGACAGAGAAGACTGCAGGACAAGCTAAGAATGATTATATTGTGCCAGAACTACGCTGAGTTGCAGATCTGCTCTCTACAAGAATGGACAAGGGAGGTGTCCCTCCACCAAGTCATTCATATGACGTATTCAGGTATGTAAACTAAGATTCTGCTTCATAATTACATGCTTCTGTCAAATCTATACATCAAGATGAGTTGCATGGTTTTACACTTCACACTACAGAATGCCCATGTCTACTATTGGATCTTTTTCATGCCCATGACACCAATGGTTAAAAACAGAACAATTAGTGGTATAAGACATAAAGAGGTATTGTCTGTGGCCCTCAGAACAGCTTTGGTGTTGGGGTTAGTCCAAGTGAGGCACCTTTGAAGGTTATGACCCAAGTGTATCCTACAGCAAAACCCCTATCTCCTTTCATGGTCTGCTGGTTAGGAAGGAGTGGATGCTTTTAGACTTTGTACTACAGAAAGCCCATGTCTACCTTTGAATCTTTTCCATGCCCATGACACCAAGCGTTGAACAGAACAATTAGTGGTATAAGACACGAAGAGTCAATGAGTGTGGCATTCAGATACAGCTTTGGTACCGGGGTTAGTCCAAGTGAGGCCCCCTTGAAAGTCATGACCCAAGTGTATCCTGCAGCAAAACCCCTACCTCTTTTCATGGTCTGCTGGTTAGGAAGGAGTGGATGCTTTTAGACTTTGTACTACAGAAAGATCATATCTACAGTTGGATCTTTTCCATGCCCATGACACCAAGAGTTGAACAGAATAATTAGTGGTATAAAACATGAAGAGCCATTGAGTGTGGCCTTCAGATACAGCTTTGGTACTGGAGTTAGTCCAAGTGAGGCCCCCTTGAAATTATGACCCAAGTGTATCCTACAGCAAAACCTCTACCTCCTTTCATGGTCTGCTGTTTAGGAAGGTTAGGAAGGAGTGGATGCTTTTAGACTTTGTACTACAGGAAGCCCATATCTACCATTGGATCTTTTCCATGCCCATGACACCAAGAGTTGAACAGAACAATTAGTGGTATAATACATGAAGAGCCATTGAGTGTGACCTTCGGATACAGCTTTGGTACTGGAGTTATTCCAAG